TCCTTTTTTTTTTTTTTTTTTTTTTTTGAAAGGTCTGGTTCGTCAGGAGGGGTATTGGTCTGCTGATTGTTTGCCTGATGGAAGTTGCCATCGAGTTTGTTGGAGGAAGGTGTGATAATGAATTTAAAATAATCAATGATGGGGTGCTTATAGTTTGCGTTTACCTAAGAATAGTTATGAAATCGATTGATAAGCTTAGTTTTGGGTATTGAAGTGGTTGGTTAGTTTATGAAATGTGATGGTGTAAGTGAAGGTGCGTGTAGTGGGCATTGGCAAGAGGAGTTATGAACAAATTAGGCGAGTGATCTTCTTGGTTACTCTATTAAGTAGTGAATGATAAAAGGGAAGTCAATCGGATAGTGCTCTCCCCTTTTTTTTTTTTCTTTTTTTTTTTTAAATGGTTGATCAAAGTGAAAGTTTGACAGGTAATATGACATAGGGGTAGTGGATGCGGCCTATCTGATGATAGTTGGTTGAGGGAGTTGATGATAAATGTTGGGGTGAAATATTTTAATTTTAGAGTTCGGGTATCGATTAACAGATTGGGTGAAGGGTAATATATTGAGATTGATTTGATGATTGATTGGTTGCTTTATGATTTAATTTGTGAAGACTTTTCCTTCCCCTTTATTTCCCCCCCTCTTTCTTATTCTTATTATTCTTATTCTTATTCTTATTCTTATTCTTATTATTCTTTTAGTCAAAATAATGAGGCTAGGTAAAGTTAATGATGATCAGGTGATAACGTAGTCGATTGATCAATTGATTGATTAGTTTTGAATAGGTGGCGGTATGGTTGCAGATGATTATTTATTGGAGTTGTTGATTGATTTGATGATTGTTGATGTCGTGAACAACTGCTTAAAGGTTTTTCGATCTTTCTCCTTCCTTTCTCCTCCCTTCTTTTTATTTTTTTTATTTTTTTTTAGTTTGTTGTTCGGACGAAATAGATGATTTGGAGTGACTGATAGGGTTGGTGGTGAGGTGATTACATGATCGATTGATTGATTAAACAATGGTTGTTTGGGTTTGTATGACTAGTTAGCGGAATTGATGATCGACCAGTTGATCAGTCAATCAAGTGATATGTTGATTAGTCGATCAACTATGCAAAGGTTTTGCGATGTTTCCCCTTCCTTTTTTTTTTTTTTTTTTTTTTTTGCTCAAGCCAATATGTGATTTAGAGGTTGGTGGTCAGGTGATTACATGATCGATTGATTAGTTAATCAATGACCTCTTGGTTTAGTTAGTGGAGTTAATGATCGACCGGTTGATCAGTCAATCAAGTGATGGTTGTTGATTGATTTGTTGATTTAGTCGAACAAGTAATGAAGTGAACAACTGCTTAAGGCTTTCTATGATTCCCCTTCCTTTCTCCTATCATTTCCCCCCCCCCCTTTTTTTTTTTTTTGTCTGTTGATCGGGTGAAATGAATGATTTGGAGTGTTTGATAGAGTTGGTGGTTAGGTGATTACATGATCGATTGGTTGGATAACTGAATGGCGTTTGGTTTCGTATGGTTAGTTAGCGGAGTTGATGATCAACTGGTTGATCAGTCGATCAAGTGATGGGTTGCTGATCTCAATCGATGTACAATCCATGCGCTGGTTTAGTTGATGATTGGCTAAAAGCTGATTGATTTGATGGTCGATAAATCAGTCGCTCGGTTGACAATTGAGAGTTAATCGGTGGATTAAGACATGAATGATGTTATTTAGTGAAGTGAAAAATGAACTTATGGAATGCTGGTCATTTGTGGTTGTTGAGTTTGGTTTTCCTCCTTGATATTGCCTACCGCCCTTGGTCCTCCCTTTTTTTTTTTTTTTTTTTTTTTTTTACGTATGTGACTGACTGATGCGTTAGTCGATGGAGTGTTTATCAGATTTGATTATTAGTCGTTTGTCGGTGAGAAAGGTTGAAAAAAATATAAGTATATTGTCTTTCCTTTTTTTTTTTTTTACGCAAGCAAGTTGGTTGTTTGGTCGAAGAATGTATGCACCCCCCTTCTTCTCTGCTTCCTTGTTTTTTTTTTTTTTTTTTTTTTTTTTTAGCTAGTGATTATTTGTCAATGTTTGGTAAATATGAGGAACAGACGATTGATTTAGCCAAACAAAAAGTGCGATTTATTAGGTGGTCTTTGTATTGATGACCGAATTGGGCAAAGGCGATTGGCATTTGATAGCTAAATTTGCTGAATTGCGGGAAGTCGAGGAGCTTCGGATTTTGTTAAATTAGTTCATCAGTCGGTTGGTTACGTGAAGAGTAGCCGATGAGGTGCTCTGGTGATCGTTCAATCAATTGATTGCTTAATAATCGTATAGGCGATAGTTGGAGTCTCTCTGTTCAAAAACTCAGTTGGCCGAGCGACTTTGGTAAGAGTGGTTGTCCTGGTTCTGAAGAGATGGTTTGAGGTTTGATAAGCATATATATATATATATATAATATATATATATTGTCTCTCCCCCCTTTTTTTTTTTTTTTTTTTTTGGAATGAAGGTCAGAACCTTATGTAGATAGAGTGACTAGTAGTAGTATTTGAGTTCTTTTTTCCTTCACCCTCTCTCGCCCCCCCCCCCTTTTTTTA